AATTCTCACGTACCCTATGCACCCAAATCTCTTGATTCTATCTAAACGGCAGTTAATCTTAGGATTCAAGACCTTTATCGGGATCTTGTAGCCAATAGTTTTGTGTGGCGTACGATTGTATATGTGCACCGCTGCCTCTGCAGCCAAGTCCCACATGCTCTCTGGCAAACCAGAATCAAGTATCAGCGCTCTAATTCTTTGTTGAATGGTCTTGTTGAATCGCTCAGAAGTACCGTTCAACTCAGGTGTGTACGGGGGTGAAAGTTCTTGTTCTATTTTCTCTTTCTCTATGGTCTCTAAAAACTCTCCACCCAAGTAATCAGTCCCCTGATCCGATCTAAAGTAACACACCTTTTCATCTTTTCCAAGGAGGTTCCTGGTTGTTATCAGGAATTTCTCTAACGTCTTTCCGGTTTCACTTTTGTGTTTGACAGGATACACTCCAGCAAATCTGGAGTAATCGTCAATCAAAATACTTATGAACCGTTTTCCTCCAGGAAAAGATGTTGGTGTTATAGGCCCCATACCATCGCCATGAAGTCTCAATAACGGTCTATCAGCCTTGACTCTATCGCTGCCAAATGCCAACTTTTCCATTTTAGCTACGACGCAAACTTCACAATCCAAAATGCTTGACTCAAATTTAACCCCTCTAAGGGCTGGTTCAGATTTTTTCAGTAATTTCAGATAGCTAAGTGAAACGTGTCCTAATCTAACGTGCCACAACATGCCCTTACTGACACTGCGCGACTCTGCTCTCTCTATCTCGAATTTTCCTAATAAGATCTTCTCTAATTCAAAAACTGCGCTATCGTCATCTACGTTCAAGTGCTTTCTCTCGAACACTGAACCCTCAAAGCCATTAGGTAACAAACTGTCTCTCCCAGTTTCATTTCGGATATCAGATGCTTCATTTTGAATCGATTCTACTCTCCCAGAAGAAATAGGAACCTCTATTTGTTCTAATCTCTCTCCCACGATTCTAGCAAAGCAAGTGTAATCCTCAAAAACTTGAGACTCGGCATTGTCTGACTTTGTCTCTACACTCAAATTAATTTCCCAATTAGGCTTGACATATTTTCCATCTAAAATAGTCTCGCCCCTCTTATTTATGATTTTCAGGACTCTATCATCAAGGACAATTTTAAAACCTGCTTCAGCGAATCTTCGCAGTGAAATCAAATTTTCAGAAATATCTCTAGCAACTAACACATTTGTTAATCTTATTCTCTTATTGTCGGCAAACACACACATGTTGCCTTTTCCGTCAATTTTAATATCAGCTGAGGTGTTTTTGTTAGCACTCTTTATGACACCCTCAGCTACTCTACGAAAATCGCTCAAAACAAGGTTATTGTTGACTATGTGCTCGGTTGCTCCAGAGTCAGCAACAAAATTGACATTATTACTAGTACTAATATGAAAAGCTCGCTCACCTTTATTGTTGTTTTTGGCCAGAAGGTAGTGCTTATGGCTTCCATTCTTAGCAGATTTCTTGTGGACCTTTCCGGATTTGTCTACTTTGTGTAGCTTCTTATCTTTCAACTTCATTGGTTGTTTTCCTCTTGCAAAAGAAGGCTTCTTGGCTCCACTCGATGATGCTATTTTAGGACAATGTGCTGCAATGTGCCGGGTGAGGTCATGACAGCCGTAACAGTACCACAGTCCCTCTTTCGTCTTCGGGCAGGCAGTCGAGCGATGTCCCAGCTCGTTACACCGGTAACACACGTCCTCGCTTTCTGATTTCGTCTCGTTTTTCTTATGCTCAACTCTATTGACCTTGGGTACATACTCCTTGCTTCTATGTGTCTGCTGGGTCTGCTTTTTCTCAGCCTGCTTGCGCATACAAAAGACTTTATTTCTTCTATTGTAAATTCTCTCTTAGACACATTTTGGCAAGTGGAATCTGCATCGCTCAATGTCGGGAAGGAATCAAGAACAGCGTTATAGAACACCGCTCTTTTCTCTTCAGCGCTTAAAGGCGTTGCATTAGCGCAATTCTCTAAAACTCTCGATTCCTTCTCAAACCTCTCGCAGAAGCTGATGAAACATTCTCCAGGGGTCATCTTCATCTTATAAAATTTAATCCTTGCATTAGAGGGAGTCAGGTTTGCCTCATCTCGTCTGAAACCTCTCAATGTTTGGATTATCTCTACTGGGTCTCTAATCTTCAATACTCTAGAGTGATATGTCTCATCCAGGTGGTTGATGATTATATCTCTCACAATCCCCTTTTTATTGTTGAGAATTGCTTCATCTAGATTAATTTGCCTGGGTGACTCAAGATCAAGAATAAATAGCAGATCCGCAGTTGACAATTCCGAATGTAAACGGTCCATCCAAAGATCAAAATTTGTGTCTCTCTTTAAAATGTAATCTCTTTTGTAAGAGACCTTTGGAACACCTTGCTGTGACTGCAAGGTGGTAACCAACTCCGTTACACTGTTGTTTAACTCTCTATTACTCGTAAACTCGAACTCTGGATTGCGATTCGGAATGACAAGTGAAGTCGATGAGAAAGAAATATTTTTATTTACCTCTCTCTCATATGTGCGTGGGATCTCTACTCTAGAATGACTCGAAGGTGCCCCACTAGACTCCTCAAAGCGGCTGTATCTCGTTGATGACTGACGACCTGACCCTTCAGGTCCAATGTGGTCAGATTTACTGTTGATTGACCCTGTTCCAGACGGAGTTCCACCTCCGTTCTGCAACAAAAACTTCAGCAACTTATGATTTGTTTTCGTCGACAGGTCCAGGGCCTGTTTGATGGTGCCAGTGATCTCAGTCAGTCTTCCCATCGATTTATGGATTTGTTTAGCGACGCTTTCCATCCTATACAGGATGTCTTTGGAGTTTCCTTCCAAATTCTCCATGCTGTAAACTGCACTTTGCAATTTCTCAGCCATGTCTCGGAGAAATTCGTGTTTTTCAGCAATGGTCACATCTGTAAATAACTTTTCAAATAAATATCTGGTTTTTAATTAATTTTATGGATCCTCGTCTACTCAAAAAAAATTTACAGATACTCTAATCTTTTTAATCAAATCCACCAATTTACCTGGGGTGGGTGACCTGTTGCGAGACGAAGTCTCAGACACCGACTCCGCTCTTTCGTCCTCTAACTCGTCTCTATTGCTATTTGGATGTGGTGTTAGATTTCCATTCTCCTCAAAATCCCCTTCATTTACGTTTTGACCACCTCCATTGTGAGTCTCCTATAAAATTCACGCAAACATAAATTTGTGAATTCACCAGATATTACTCTTTGTGTGCTAGCCCACTATTGTTTACAAAAATTTTAAATCAGTACAACTTGATAAAAAGAATTGATAAACTATGATTATTATTACTACAAAATTCCAGCAACTCAATTCACACACCCCAAAGGATAAATTGTCATTCAAAGCTGACGACAATCCAACCACCTGGGCGATCGTGCATGCAAACTGGGCCAGTCAATTGTTTCATAAAAATCAATAAAGTAAAACAAAATAAAAATTAAATGCACAGCAATTTAATAAATAATTTTGAGTAAGGAATTTACGGTCAACATTATTAATTTTCTCCAATCAATATTTCTTTGTATATAATTAACTAAAGATTATCACAGTGGATTTTATTCCAGGTAATTATAATCCACTCCCTCCGAAAGTGATATCTCTCAACAAACAACACAAGCGTTGATATAACCGAGAAAACAAACTCTTTATTAAATCGAACCACACTCAAGCAACTCTCTACTATATAACGCAACGCGCCATTACAGAGGATCCCTGCAATAACCACTAACTAACCACACGCTCTCTCGTGTGTTCTCCGCTGCGTTGCCACACTTATTTGCAACTCTCCAACTCAATATTCGACAATAAATAATATACATGACTGTCAGATTCTCCAGAATGATTTAAATGTTATATATGATTGGTGTGAAAATAACAAACTACACCTAAACATTACTAAATGTAAAGTGTTGTCATACTCACGAAAAAATCAACCTCTTCGTTATACATATACAATAGCCAACGAAACGTTAAATAGAGTCACCATGGTCAAAGATTTAGGCGTCACTTTTGATAATATGTTGAACGTTTGCGTTTCATATTAATGACATGGTAAATAAAGCAATGAAAGTAGCGGAGTATGTTATACGCGTCAGCGCGGAATTTTCCAGCATCGCAACAATTAAATCTCTCTACACAACATTGGTTCGACCTAAACTGGAATACGGAGCAATCATATGGAGTCCACTGTACAAAAAGTACGAAAATGACATCGAACATGTGCAGAGGAGAATTATTAAATATATGTGTTTCCGCAAGGATGGTCACTACCCGGAAAGAGGCTACCCCCAGGCAAGTATGCTAGAAAACTTTGATCTTGTCCCGCTAGTAGTTAGGAGAAGGCGAATGGCTGTTACTTATCTATATAAGCTTGTGCACAACCTAACTGACTGCAATTTGCTACATAACTCGACAAAATTTTATATACCACGTCCCTCATCTAGGAATAAAATCACATTTCAATTGCCAAGATGTAGAACCAATATTAGACAGAGCTCACCGATTTATACAATGTGTTATCACTATAATGATATTTCAAGTCATGTAGATATTTTTCACACTCCATTACCTATCATTCTTAATTATATTACTTAGTTATTATTTTTTTTTTACGAGTTAGTTACTTCATTAATTTTTACTCTCTCACTTATAATTTTGTCCTATTCTAGGGTTTTGTATTACACCTGTTTGGACAATAAAGATTATTATATTATTATATTATATTAGGTATAACATTTTTACAGAACTACTTAAAACGCGAAATAACTGGCGCATATGCGCTGGCTATTTAGTATGGTATGATCTTTGCTACTGCCAACAAAATGATTTATCATTTCAATTGTAAAAAACAGTTATTGATTGATGATGGGTTTCAGATGTTTTTGTTGTACCCAATGTTTCTGATTTTTACTATAGAATTGGGAGTAAAATAACAAATTCATTTAACAACTGTATTAAATATTAATAGTGTAATGGTTACCTAAAAACAATAATGGCAGTACAAAACATAAAGGAAAATAATATGCTTAATATATAGGATGACTAATTAGTAAACACTCTCGTACACAGTATAACCTCGTCGACACTGTAAAATCCTTTGTACTCTCTTTACCTAAAGTTGAAGCATTACTGTCGAATTTCTTGCTTTAAGTACACCACGTATGGCTTAAAATTTTAATGGAAGCTGTAATTAATGGCAATCTTAACATTACATTAACTGTCCTATTCCAAACTATATAGTTGTTACATGTTCGTTCGCATATAGCACTATTAATTTCTTTACATATATTACACGTTAATTGTAAATTGTATTACAAAATATGTCTAGTAAAAAAGTCTGTTAGGTAAAAATTTTAACTTTGGCAAATAAAGTGGAAATTTAAAACGCGCTTTACTACAAATGGCATTCATAATTAACCTTTTCCAGCATAAGTGGGATTTTTAAACGTCGACGTCGCCTGCTTGTAAATTGGATTTTCACCCTAAAATTGGATAACTTAAGACAAGTACACATAAAAGAAGCTCTTACAGTATCCCATTTTGCCATCATTCGCTCTTTCTCAAACCTTGCGAACTCCCTTCGATCGTGGATCGTAGCAAACAGTTTCCACAGTAATAAAATCGCCAACCCCATTAAAACGACAGCGGCGATCACACCGAAAACTATGCCTAACAGTAACACCTGCCCTTTGCATTCGCGCTCTTTCTGCGCTTTTACAATGTAATGTGTCTCGTTCTGTTTCCGATAAACAAATATGTATCTGCAGTTGTTTTCGTCGTAACCGGCGCATTGGAATTCGTTATTCTTCTCATCTGGTACCGCGGTTTGTACTTCAATAGGAGTGAAATTGGAGCATTTTTCTATGCAGTTGTCTTTATATGGACCCATCTGATACATTTGGCAAAGGACACAAGGTTTCAACTCTTCACAGGTTTCAGTGCAATTCTACAACACACAATGTACATAAGAAAGAATCGTTAAGATGGAAACTTACGGGACATCTTTCACAGTATTTCCCCGTGTATTTTCCTCCTCCATCTTCGGCTTCATTGCATACGCATTCTCCACAAACGCACTTACCGTGACCATCACACTCTTGAGCGTTACTTTTCGGAGGATAGCAAATGTTGGTCTCGTTGTAGCAGTCGCACGCTTTTCCAGTCCACGGTTTATTGCATTTACATTCACCGCAATCGCAGATACCGTGACCACCACAAATCACGCCACCGTGGCGATAGCAAGAGAAATTGTCGCATTCACACCAGTCACCATAAATTCTCTGGAAGGAACGATTTAAATCAAATATTGTTTTCTAATGTGGTGTACATTGTAGAATGGCGATTTGATCATATACAAGATATAAATATCAGAATAAAAAAAATCAGATACAGGATCAGGATCATGTAACCTTAAAAAGACCTTTGATAACTCTCTTTTGAAATAAATAATAATAAAACAGAGTCAAAATATGTATTGTATTCTTCCCCAGCCGAAAGTAATAGGCGATTACGCGCTCTCGCCTCAGTAAGTAGATGCGCAGTAGGAATCCAGACGCAATTATTGCCAAACCTCTAAAGTCCATTTTGGTAGTTTTTGGATCGCTCCGGTCATGTGCGCATGCGCGTTGCACCTCTTTGCGCAGCGTCATCTTTGACCTGTTGACGAAACCCTTGGACTTGTTGACAAGGCCATTGCATCTGTTGGGTAAAGCCGTTGGATCTGTTGCACATGATCGGAGTGATCCATAAAACTACCAAAATAGACCTTAGAATTTCCCATAAGAAATACATGGAGATTTGGCGATAAGTGCGCCTGTATCCTCATTGTGCATCTATTACATACGAACAAACGGTCAAAAAGTACTAAATAGTGCTCTCTTTATCCTTGTCAAGATAGACAACCCTGAAAACCCATCACCTTTCAAGTTTTCTTCGGATCACTTTATTTGAATTCAAGGTCAATGTGATTTTGGACCAGACTTATTTGATGTTTAATTTTGTTTAAATAACTGCTTTGTTTATTTTGATTTGTAATTGTAAAGATATTACGGATAAAGATTAGATTTAGCCATCTGGAAATAATTGCGTAGTATTTGTAAAAGTTTATCTCTGGTCATTGCGATAAGGAGTTTGTTATCGCTCCGTAAAAGTCAATTAATTTTGAAGTTAAGCAGGTGTATGGCAGTCGGCCGTAATCAAGTTTGTTTCTGAAAGACCGCGGGTAGTCTTGTTGATAATAAAGTTGCTGTTGAAGGAAGTTTGAATGTTGTACCTATTAAGATATTTCACTTTTTTCATTTTGATGAAAACGTCATGGCAGATTGTCGAGAGGTACGAACGCCTTTGAAATTATGTTTCCTATTAGGGACTAAATTGTTCTCATCCAAACTGAGTGAAAAGTTGCCGTCAGGTTTGCCATTCGCCTTCGCCATTATAAACAGGAAGGGCTGCAGTCGTAGAATTAGCAGAGAGTATACTGTGCATGCATCGAAATGATCAGAAGGTTTACTCTATAAAAACGGCTGTATAATTTATCGTGTGGTATTTGTAGGTATTTGCTGCAGTTGCATTTTGGGGTGCCACAAAAATGAGATTTCCTTTTTAATTGTCCGGTTTTAAACCAGTGATCCATAATTAAAAACAATTTATTTAAAAAAACGCACAGGTGACTTAGGAGTAGTAATGCTTAACTACGCACTGAGAAAGGATAGCACTATAGCAGTTTACTGAAGTTCCTGATAAACAGTGCAAGTGTACGACAAGCGTAAAGTTTCACTTGAGTGCAGGGTGCGCAGTGGAGCTGCTAGCTAACAAATTTTCAAAATAAACGTGCGACAATTTGAATTTGTTTCTTGCGTTGGGAGAGTTTTTTGTCGTCATCTAGCGATAGCGAAGATGATGTACTAGCCATAACTTCTACTTTACAAAAAATTGCACTTAGTCATTAAACTGAACGCCACAAATTGGTCCTTTACAGGAATTTCAAATTTATATTCCTCATCGTTTATCATAAGTAATACTGAAATCGTTTGTCATTTTTTAGAATAGAGATTTGTCGATTACCTAAATCTAAAATGAGGTTATGGACAAATGACTACAAATATTTACGAATATTTATGTTCCATTGAGAGCAATTTTCACATGGATTTCTTCAGTTTCTCGTGCAACACTCGTGCAGTACGAGTTTTGCCAATCGAAAACGCTATTATTTTAAATGGACGCCATATTGGATTTGTACGTCACTAGTGATGGGTCGCACGTGAGCGAGTCGTCAAAAAGAGTGGCACAGTTGAGTGTGCTGTGAACGAACGACTCTAAAAAAAAGAGCGACCAGCTCACCAGCACATTTGGGTGTTGCTGTTGGTAATCGTGTTATTATACGTTTGAGCCATGAGTGCATTGTGCAAGCACGTTAGCACACTGCACAGTTCGTTCGTTGTCATTCAGATTACACTTCGTGCAGCTGCAGACGCGCACAATTCGTATGCACACTGACAGGAACATCGCTGAGCGAGGAAATGTAATTAATGTCGTTTTGCTGTTATAAAAATTAGGGTGGTAATTTTTTTAACAACAATACTTTTAATACCCGGTTTATATTTTGCACACACGTACGTACAAGTGGGTATTTGTTTCTCTTTTTAGTAGATTCGCACAGCCACAGAGTTGTAATACTTATATACAACTCTGTGCGCACAGCACACTTCGCATTGCATTTATTCATTCTCTTTACTTTACTTATTAATTTAATTAACATATTCTGTCTCTTCATTCATTTTTTTTCCTATAATGTTTTATACTATTATTTTATTATGTTTTTTTTCTCTTGTGTGATATTTTGATATTTCTTACACTGCAGTTTATACTAAATTTTTGTATTGTTCTGTTACTGGAAATATTTTTCTGTTGAACAATAAATGCAATTATTATTATTATTATTATTTACACAATGCTAAGAGTGACGGCACATTTGAACGACTCTTTAATGTGTGCTGTGTCATAAGAGTCAGCACAGCAAAAAGAGCTGGTTCGACCCATCACTATACGTCACTAGATAAAACAATTACAAAACCAGTGATACTAAACACTTTATTTCATTTGGGAATCAACCTTGCATTTTTGCGTTGAAGTTTACAATGTATTTCTTATGGCAATAATTCCATGGTTGTGTCGATGGTGACTATGCGAGACAATAAATGAATGAATTTGGTTTCAATCGCAATCAGCCATGGAATTATATTCTCATAAGAAATACATTGTAAACTTCAAGGCAAAAATGCAAGATTGATTCCCAAATGAAATATTAAGTGTTTAGTACCACTGGTTTTGTAATTTTTTTCTCTATCGAGTGACGTACAAATCCAATATGCCGTCCATTTAAAATAAAGAAGTTGATGTCAATATCTCGAAAACCGCCATTTTGAAATTTTTTTTCTACGTCCATTGAATGTATCCCATCGAATCTTGTAACTTTTACTTGAAACTTTCTTCGATAGCTCTTTGTTACTAAAATATTGACCTTTTTAAAAATTCCGATTTTCACTTTTTTCCAATGATCTACGAAAAGATTTATTTTTTCAAAATATTGCATCAGAATATTTATCAGCATCAAATACTACACAACTTTGCCAATTTAATCGAATCTGTAAGTAGGTAGGTATAAGAATAGCATAGATAACCATGTTATCACACTCAATTTAAGACACACGTCGATTGTTTAGAAAGACTTTAGTAGTACAGTATGACTGTATTAATTGTAGCGAATATTCTAGAAATCCAGATAAACATGGAGGCGGAGAGCGGATGTGACGCATCCTTTCCGGAAAATACGATATGTTTTGTTCGAGAATATTCGGTTAACTGTACAAAATTGCATATCTCCCAATACATTTAAAATTTTGCGGGATCCCGCAAATACCGGGATCCCCCGGGATTAACATATAACGATCCCGCAAATACCGGGATCGAAATTTTGCTGCGGGATTGCATTCCCTACTCGCTTCCTTATGTACGCATCGAAAGTGAAATTTTATGCTTGTCGGACTAGTTTGTTTATTTCAGGACTTATTTTGTGGACTTTCTTTTTCTAAGAAGGCATATGCTAATCCGTCGATCACAACCAGAAGGTATACGCCATATACCCTCGACTGCAGCTCTGTAAACAGGCACTGTGATACGAATACAACTAATACCTAACCCAAAGCGGCGTTAATAGTCAAGATACAAGGTTGTTGCCACGCATGCGCAGAACTGTGATCGCAGTGCTGCAATGGCGGGATATACAAATTAACCTTACTTTCTGGACGTCCTATGTATTACTTGAATTCGAGGTCGATTTTGTTTTGTATCGAAATTATTTAATGTTGTGTATTTTGTTTTCATAATTGTAAATTTAAATTACGTGTTAAAAATCTAGATTTATTCAGTTAGGAATTATTTGCGTAGTGTTTGTAAACATTTATCTCCGGGCGGTTGCGATAAGGGTTTGTTATCGCTGCGTGAGCTAATTAAATTTCAAAATTAGCACGTGTTATCGCAGATAATTTTTCGCCTTAGTGAACACAGGTGTTTAATTTATTCAAAGACGCAGTTGGAAGAACGGAAAAGGAATTTGTTTTAAATAAAGGTGGTGGACGTTAATCGTGGCTTGTTTGTTTTGGTGATTGACAGTTTTGCCGTTATTTAAGCCAATTGGAAAGACTAACGAACGCATGTTACGTGGTATGTGTCATTCTGACCCTGAGCGCCTATTTTTCTTTTCAGCTTATTTGATCGATTTATGTCGAATAATTGTGTTTCATCTGTAAATGGTTGGTTTTGTGATTAATGCAGTCCAAATTACGACCCAGATAAGAGTTTGAAGTTAATTTTTTATATTTTGTACCCAGAATTACTAACACCAGGTGATAAGTGAAAATTTGTTAATTAATTCTTTGGAATTTTATAGGCGGCAAGAGTTCAAAAAATATTGAAAAACAAGATTCAGCAATAAAAAAAAGTATAAGTAGATTAAAAATCAAAATGCTTACATGTAGAGGATTGTTTGGAATATCACATTCACATTTATTGCAAATGCAAGCTCCTCGTCCGGAGCACTCTAAAACATCTGTCACGTTGGGTTGCTTACACCCTTGGGTGAAAGTTTGATTGACTAGTGATTTTAATGAACACTCGCAATGCTGTCCTTGATGAAACGGATCACATTCACATATTCCACATTTTAGTGTACCCACATTGTTACACTCCTTCGCGAATAGTTTATAACCCTACAAAACGCAAATCAGGGGATTTTTGGTAGCTGTTGAAATTCAACTTACCGCATCCCCCGCCTGATCACAAGGACAGGAGCAAAGCATCTCAAGATCAATATAAACGCTTTCAGACAAACCAATCGGGTACACTTGAATCGTCTGGTTCCACTTGCTGCGGTCTTCCGGACATTCTTTAAGGAACACTTCTAAACGAAAATCAATGACTTCCCCAACTTTAAATCCTCCGCACGATTTAGTATTATTTTCTATTGCGTCTGAGTTACCGCATCTGCTGTAGTACTTAATTTCGACCCATGTGCTGGAATTGTCTTTCAGTTCAACGTTCGAGGAGATTTCCTACAATTGATTGACACATCCATCCTTCAATGAAAGTGATTACCTCGTATTGCTTCCTCACAAACTGCACAACGTTAGAGGAGTCCGCCGATAAAGTTCCACTAGACGCGCCTTCGATGTGTTCCTTCAGACTATTGTAAATTTCTCTACGTTCCTCGGTAACGGCGAAGATAACATTGATCGCGTTCTCCTTCACTTTGAGATTGAGTTGAGAAATGCTGGGATAATCCTGAACGCTTGAATACGAATAATATTGATCTTGTAAATGGCAGCGACCATCGTTAGGTTTGATAATTCCTCCTAACTGCAAAATAGTTGTTAAATGCATATTCGAAGTCACATGACTAATAATGGAATGGAATTACGGTCCTATTTATTTAAAAATCTAAAATAGTAACATAAAAAAGGTCTGTTATGGATAACCCTATTCCTGAATCAGTCACATAAGGATAAAATTCCATTCCACATATCAAAAGCAGCTCACTTACCTTTCCATCACCGGCAGAATGAAAACCATCATCGGTTGAAAAAACGAGCAGCCTTCTAGCGTTATCTCTCCAACCGATGTCCTGCTTGCACACCACCGCTTGCATAAGGGCGTCAAATCCGCCTTCGGGAGCGTCTAAATTACCGGAGACTCGAGCAGCTTTAACCATGCGCTAAATGAAAATCGTCAATGGTTATTGCTGTAAACCATTGATCGTTTCGGTTAATGATTTTGAATTCTTTCTACATTCGGTAGTAGAACTCAAAATGGTTGGTTAGGAAGTGTTTTTTTAGGATTCAATATTGTTATATCGGCCACTTTTAAAGAAAAAAAATGAAATTTATTTAAAGGGGCACAAATCCATAGTATTTTTTCGTTGAATCAAAAATTCTTGAAAAAGTTGAAGTTGTGTAATGATTAATCTGATGTTTGACAGATTTGAATGGGCTTGGTATCAAATGAACGTTTATTTAGGTAGATGTGACAAACGATTTTTTTAGATATTTAAGTTTGTTCCGCCACAGTAACATTTTAATTAACTTCGTCGTGAGGCGGCAGTCGCTAATCGGTAAGGTTTAAGCCCACTTCCTTCTTCATCACCATTCAGAGGTCATGATTGTACCGGTCGAATTTTTGAGTTAGTATTGCCATAGAGTAAACAACGTATGGTATTGCCAATAAAAATGTTTCTTGAAAAATACTTCCCTTTTTTCATATAATTGTACGTACCTAATACAAGTAGGCTTATATATATTGTCATGCATGAATGTAGCGGAGAATGCTATTGTAAATGCATATTTTGCTGCAGATTTCCATGAAAATAGTTTAGGGGCCACAACTGCAGTTCAGCATAAAATTATCGTTATCCAAACAAAGACAAGGAAGTAGATAGAATGCGTACACGTTCGGAGTTATTAAAATATCTAATAGTGGGTTGGTCCTCACAGGTACTTTTAGTTCTTAAGAAAAGTGGCAGGGGCATTGTGTAATCCGAAAATCATCCTGGTATATTCAAATCATCTAGTTCCTGGAACGGTAAAGGTTGTATATTTTCATCCAAACCAATATGACAATATGCACTACGGATATACTCGTACTTTTCAGTTCACACAAAAACGTCACTCGACTTACTCAAAAATACAACCGTTTCTAGACATTAAGCAGAAGTAGAAACTTGCAACTTGCATCAGATTGCCAAAAGCATCAACACAATAGTTTTTTGTGGCACTATCAGAAGAAACGATGGATGAGTATTCGTTATAGCAGATATTGTATGGGATTTTTAACTGCAGGAAGTAAGAATACAAGATCACCGCCAAGCCTAGATTCCACAACTACACCTAAAGCTGACGTTATTCCTAAGAAGAAACCGGATCAAGAGAATCTACTGACGTCCTCAAGAATCCATTACATCCTTCACAAAAAGCCATAGATTGAAGCAGAAGAGGAAGGCCAAAGATAAGGTCCCAATGAAAGCACCAAGTGCTTCCACTGGGAGTGGCAAATTGGCTGCCCAAGGAGTACCAAGGCTCCACAATAGCAAAGGGCCATAGTGACCTACGCTTACATTCCGGAGGATTCTGAAAGATGTCATCGACCCCTGCAAACCAAGGAACATCAACCTATTTTTTGGTCGTGAGGTCAACGCGCATCACCTGTTGAGGCAGCTGGGACACAAACCATAGAAGTGAGTCGTTGAGAATACATTAACTCAACCTCACTGGAAATAGTTAACAGCCACCATCATCAATAAAATTAGGCAGGAGGTGCTAGATATGACTCTGGCAACTCCACAACTTGGCCAAATATAATTAACTGACACAAGGGAAGTTTCACTCTTGGACCATAGACATATTTCATTTGAGGTGAATGTCCTATGGAGACAAACAGTAACCATCAGAGTCCCTCAACCTCCAGACTGGTGCTTTTATGAGGAACACATCAAATGATCTACACTGACTCTTACATAAAACATATGAAGCAAGTTGTCCAGTAAAAACCAAAGGACTTACAAAGGAATTCACCCTAGTGAAATGGGTACCTAGAAACTTCAAGCAACTGCAGGATGGTTACTAACCGGCAGAAGCGAGACACACTCTGGTAGTCATATAGGGCAGCACTTGCTACAGGCAACTCCGAACTAAGGAGTTCCAAGAAAAGGACTTGGTGAAAATTCTGTGAAAGCATTGATACGATCCCAGCAGTTTTGCGGCTACAAAAGTATCACTCAAACAGCATCACACACCTTTGAAAGGTTACTCTCCAGACTCCCACCCTCAGATTAAAATTGTTAATCTGAGTTCCTGTAAAAGCTCCCATGCTGGAGGATATCACCATTGGCCTCAGTAAAGAGGTCAAATATATGGTGATAACCTTTGGCCAAAAGTTAACGTGGTACCCCCACCTGGAGAAGCTGGTAAAAAAGCCTGCAGAAGATTACGGGGAAAAATGAGGGCCTAACGCCAAAAATGACCATTTGAACAATCATTAAACTTCTAGCATCATATATGCAAAACGGGGATAGGGATAAACTAAAACGAGCATTCGCATTGAGCCAAGAGAGACGCGTTTCAACGCACGAAAGCTGAACGTATCGCATTTGTATGTGCGTTTAAATTAATTAATATTGAGTGGAAAAAGTGCCAAATATCGTTCTACAAGTGTTCTTTCCACACACATCGATACGTTGAGAAGTCGCATTTCAACGCTAATCTAGCAGATTGGAACAGGTATTTGTGTTGTCTACTTCCACTTCGTGTACGAGGGACGGCTACCATCACACGAAGAGCTTTTGTTGTTAAAAGGTCGATATTATTGAAAGAACAATTACCATTCAGTTTAGGGATTGCTCTGAAAGTGATGTAAGATTGGAGTGAGGCTTTCGTCCTAATAATCCTACTCTTGCAAACTGGAGCAGTTTACCTGCATGCTACATGTGACGCCACACCAGCTGTCTCAAGACAAGGTTAGTTGGTTTACATTTTTACGTACTTAAACTGACTTGTGTTTGCGTTTCTATGAACAATCGCTTATGTTGTTGCGTGTAAGACTTTGGGATAATTTATAATTGAATTGTGTATACTGTTTACATTGTAACTTATAACGTTTGAGTAATAAAAAAAGCAGACGATGTATTACCTGCATTTGACGGTATATATTGATTTGAAGATATAATTCAGCTAATGTATCGATTTTGATGGGATATTTAAAATTGGCGTTTTATCTGAGCACAACGTTTCCATTGTCATAAATCTACCCAAATTAAGTTGTGGATAACTCAACACCACATTATTTCTTTACCACATAATACATCCAGGTATTTATATAGGCAAAGCGATTTTTGGTTTGAGCTAGAAAGCTGTTCTGCCAAAAATTTCAGAATTTGACACATTTATTCTTATTCTATTACTTTACTGAATATCTGTACTTATGCCCCAATTTTATGTAGAGGTCTACTAAAAAATTCATAAGTAGTACTTGATGCTTCCCAGTGCGTTTCAGTAGAGGTACAAAATAGGTACATCATTCTTTACCAGCAAAAGTTAAGATGAGAATTATAGGCACTTTAACAATGGACCCCCATTATTTTGTCTGTGGAGATAGTATCATGTCCTCAAGTATGTTGGCAATTTCAGTGTTGCCAACTGACATAAATACTACGGATATATGTGCCTATCAATACAATCAAAGACCATTTCAAAAGTAAAGTGGCCAATATGTTGTTGTTATGTTAATTAGGAAGGAAAGCGTGGAAAAATTACGGAATTGAAAAATAAGTAAGTGCTTCCTGACATGTGTTAAATAAACTTTTAAGTCCGGTTACCACAAATATTTCCATACAACCATCAAAAAGCCATGCAAAAAGTTGATCTATTAACAAGTATTATAAACAATGTTACAACAGTATATTGTCCTTTCGTAGCACGTTGAAATAACCAATCCCAATGCGTTGCATGCTGAGAATGTAAACTTAAAGAGTAATGCATTAGAGTGATAAACAACAACCAAATATTAAGTGACACGCGAAACTTACAGCGAAATCATCAGTTTTATTTGATAACCTCATGGAATGGTAGAAACCATACGGTGCCGAACAGTTTACACATGGATGTTCTAAACTATAATAACAAACTTAACTGACATATACACATGCAAGCGGATAATTAAGTACGACAAGTCGTACCTAACCAGTGGAAAATACTTCAACACGTTTCGGGTGAAATACTTTCCAAAATTATCTAAAAGAAAAATAATAAAAAAATAACCGTCCCCATGCCACATGCGAATCTATAACTACCTGAAATAAAAAAAACATTAACATCAGACCACATTAAAGCCTAATATGTCTATAAGATCATTGAGAGAAGACTAGTGGTCGACTTATCGACCGACATATCAGTAATCATGCCGTGAAGAAGATGACAAAGAGAAAATGCAAGCTTAATTTACAAATGTTGTTTGGAAGACGGAAAAACGGCTGTAGGAAGGCCAAAATGAAAATTTTGACAGCTTCATGTTTATAAGGCAGGATAGGTTGGAGTATTAATAAGTTGACATTATTAATAAACTTACTGCAAACTTAGTGGTATCATTACTTAAAGGCAAGTGATTTCTATAACCATACGGCGCTGTACAATTGGTGCACGGCATCTTCAACCTAGCATCGAGAAATACAGTCATGAAAGCGGCAGAAAGTAACAATTAAAATGTTGATTCGTTGTCACACTTCAAAATAACGCATTCCAAGCAGTTAGGCAACTGAAAATTTTAACGGAAGTTTTGTGCAGTAAACGAAATTAAACGTAATGAATTGAGAAATACAGTCGATAAGAGATGAAAGAGCCTAATATTGAAAAAAAAAACTTATATATAAACACAAATTGCAATACACAGATGTTGTGGGAAGCTTCAAACATACTGATACTTTTTTGAACGGTTGATCTTAATGTTTAATCTTCAATGCCCCAATGCCTTTCAAATAAAAATGTTTGGGCTACTGTCTTTTCCACCTGCGTACCTCAATTGAGTCTTTACATGTTTGCCGCCAATATATTTGTTGAGAGAACCCAACAGATGATAGCCGCTTGGGGCAAACATTTTAACCGTAAGTAAGAGACATTTTCCCTCCTAATGTATTGTTGTGTAAACGTCTTGTAGAGTGGACGTTATTTTGGTCTAAATACCAAAAATAATGACGGGATACCTTGTGTATAACAATATTTCAAATTATTCAGTTGATTATTGTATTTGAGTGTTATTTTCGATGTTATTTTTCCTTTTGGAATTGTTATACGTAATTCTTGTTTAAATCTGATCCTTTTTGTAATTTATTCAGTTTAGATACGATGCTTTAACTAAGACACATCTGCCCGAATTTGAATTATTTAAAAAAGGGCACATCCGGTCGTTTGCGATAAGGAGTTTTATTATCAGGCAAAAGTTAATTAATTTTAACGAAATGCACTTCTGGTGATAAGGTGTTTTACGATGTGCGCGGGATTTTTCGGCGTAAGGGGGGACGCGTTCCTTCAAAGCTGGCATTATGAAGGCTGATTGTTATTGGCGGTGTTTTGGAAAATCCTGAAGGAGATCATTTGTTAGGGGAAGTGGCGTTTCTTTAAACACGAGAGACAACGTAAAAAAGGAGCCGCATTTAGTTTTCGCGACGGCAAAAGAGCGTGTATTTCTGTTTACATCAACTAACCTATTCATTTACTTGAAGACGCAGTTCGTCATTTTTATAATAAACATATGAAACAAGTTAACCAAAGTTGTGCCAAAAGTTTAACGCGTCTCCGATTACGGAAAAAGTTTTGTCGGGTTGAAATCAGAGCACGCAGTGTAGTCGTCAAGTTTAGTGTTATCAAAAACCAGTGAAGTTTCCGGAAGCTCTCAGCGTGTGTGGGTTATTTAATTGCACCTGAATATCGCAAACCTTGTACAACCAAATTATTTGGATTATAAAAAAAACCAAGTAGATAATTTAAAATTTTTTTATTTATTTGTTTGTAGCGTGCTTTGTAGGCTTTCATTTTTTGCAGAGATTTTGTTTTAATTTTGTTTCTTGTGTTTTGGAATAAATATTTGTTTGTTTATTTTTATTTTATTTTGCCTTTATAAAAATAAAGGAGTGGGCGGGGTTTCAACCAAGGCTGCTCTACCAACCCAACCCACTATACATTTACAAATATCCATGCCCGAACCCGGATTCGAACCAGGGACCCTTAGCACCACAGTTCAGCTTTAACTGAACTGCGTCACACGGGCCCTATCCATTGTGCAACCCAGAGAGTTTTTCAGGCCTTCTTGCTATGGTTGCCACTTAAGCGATTTCAGGACTGGGTATGGGAATAAGAAGTATTCTCCCAGATTCGGTAGAACGCGAATTAATGAGTTTCATCAATGGGTTCTCTCTGTTCGAAAATATTGGCTAGCCAGAAGAAAGCCTCGCTAGGAGCTTCAAATCGTCTTCATTGAAGTCCATAGAATTAACTCTTCGAAATTGGTTTGTTCTTGTTTAGTTGAGAGCTATCAGGAATATGAGGGCGATAAAATTCCTTGATGTCGTACAGGTTGAAAAATATAATAATTTAAAATGCAAATTGGAAGAAAGTAAGAAAGTAAAGTAAATTTTCTGGAAGCTTTTTTTTCTTCATGGTATTAATTGGGCCCCTAGAGCTACTCTCGTGTGATTATGAGAGGGAAAAAATTGTTTTTGTTGTTAATATTTAATTAAAATTCGTTTAACGTACACGTTTGGGGACATTCTATACGAGAATATTATGTGTAATTTACATGTTTGGAGACATTTTGACTTGACATTATTTGAAATAAACTTTTGTTAATTTGACTTCATTGTTATACTACCTCGTCTTCTCAATTTCATGGGGGAGATTAAGAATTGAGCTCAATCCTATCCGGATGCCCGGAACGAACTATCGGTGTGGAAGATCTCAAGCGTTTATTTTATTTTCCAACCCTGAGCTAATTGGCCGTTTATGAGGCGGGTTTGAGGTGTAAAGCAGCGCCAACCGAAACCTCAGATCTGTAAATTGACAATTGACAAACCTAAATCGAGCAATTTCACTAGACAAAATAACCACACAGTATACTTATTTGTGAAAAATGTTTTCATACTACCAAGGATGTCTTCAATCATAGGTATGTCAAAAGGTCAATTAATCGATTAATTGACCACTGATTTGAAAACTTGCACTGGTACCTCTCATACTCCGCGAGTACAACCCGCTAAGACGTTGGCGTCGTACTTACTTTCCTATACATTGTACCTGAAAATTTGGGAAAACCATGAAAAGTTCCACCCTGTATATACAACTTGCGACGATACATACATTTTTGAGAGTTGACAACCATGCAATTTCTAGGTGGGAAAAAGCTGCCTGCGCCATCTAAAAAGCACGAACGCGGGTTACGTTTGGCATCTTGTTTTGAATGGCGGTCGTGAACGCGTCGCTCCATAAATGTTTGTTGGTATTTTGTTTTTTTTGATGCAGGTAGTAATTTTTACATTTCTTTATATCGTATTTGTGTATTGTATGCCGCATTTTATATTTTCTGTGTGGTTCAATCTTTGTTTTTGAAATTTACTTGGTTTAACCGTAATGCAGAATCAAATGTGTGATACCGTTATGCTATTGTTTGTAATTGTTTACGTTTTTGGTGTAATGTTTGCTTAAATTATGTTTATTAATGTTGATTACTTGGTCTTGTCCCTCAAGTAACATTCATTTCATATAAGTACTGATCATTTTATTTTAATATGTGGAAATTACCGATTCGTTTGATGTATGTATTGACTTGTTGTTTGTTACTAACAATTGTCTCCGTGAATGAAGCAGTCACGGGCATGGTAAAAACTGTAACCATTTGAAGTACGACACCTAATTCCGTGATTGTCTTCGACATTCAACTGTAGGTTCGAAACCCCGAAACCTGGGGCGGGTTACCCATCTTGCCGGAGCGGGATTACGCTAATCAAAGCTCTTCAGTTGAGAATCTATGTGCGACAAATGAGTGGCGATTCAATAATTTCCACATATCTTGTTTTTAGTTAAATTTGCCTACAAGGCCACGTAACTTTCCATCTTGCTTTTAACAAAAGCACTTTATTGCACCAAAGACGAGTCACATCCTGTACTCTTAACCCTTTCTCAGAATTTAGGTATCTGCTCCTACCTGACCCATTGTTCCCAAAAACTTGTTTTTCACCTTGAGTGTAACCAACATTGTGTATATGCATTTACTATCTTTGTTAACTACTGCTTAAACTTTTACAGAATATTTTGTTAATTAACTTTTGGACTGTTTTAATCAAACTGCAAGGTTTTTCTTCGTCGTACTCTTTTTACCCTTGGCAGTTACTTTTGCGAGAGTACGACACCCTTCTGGCTTTGCTTACATTAACGTACATCAACTAAATTTTCGGGTTTTCACAATCATAATAATTACGATTATTAATAAACACACTTTTCACAATTTTGGTGTTTTATTTTATGTTCCTTCCCGAGTGTACTTCAGGTCATGGCGTTGTTTACAACTAACGTAAGGGGGTCCTGTTTGATCATGTGCCACTTTTCAAATTTAAGCGGGATCTTGTTTAGTTTTCGAGGGAATAGTCATTTGGGTGGCCATTTTTAAACGTTGCCGGGTTGACTTTATTTCCGTGTTCTTGTAGTGTGAAGATAGCGTAGAACCTGGGGGTTAAGTACACTACAACCATTACCTGCATTTGTGATCCAGTTTATGAGAACAAAGATTTACTTGGTTCATAAGATCAACGCGAAGTATCAGTATGATAAAGCTTCATATACCTACTTAGCATTAGACAGAAAAGGTATACTTACTTTGATTGAACAGTACTAACGTAAGGCATAACAACTTTATCAACGAAACTACCAAATCCAAGTTGAAACTGGCTGGTAATTGACTGCATGGATTCCGCCAACATATTTCCCAACTTCGACAGTTTGTCCTTATCGTCCTCCATAGATTTACTCAGATCCATGAGGTAATACAGATCGACCGGGTAATCGTGCGCTTGCGCGTAGGATACAGTAAAACTAAATGACTCGCCTGAAACACACAATGTTTACAGTATCGGATCAGGGGAGACTTACGAGCTCTCAGCTTCATATGCACTCTTTGTGGAGTGATTTGTATGCTCTCTGAAGTAGTTTCAGTATATGTGGTCTCATATGTGGTTTTCGAACCGCCGTAAGAGCCGTGGGCATCACTGTATCCACCACTTGCCCCACCATATGAGGTACTATACCCACCACTACTTGAAGTACCACTCGAAGTACCATATGACGTTCTTGCATCACCGAATTGATTGCTTGATCCACTAAATTCGTTATTTCCACTGCCGTATGAAGTTTTCGTTTCGGTGTAGGTGGTCTTAAACGTTCCACCATCCCCAACAGTCTCAGAATACGAGGTATAGGTTCTATTTTCAGCTGCTCGGGTGTTTCGATGACCGGTTGAGGATTGATGTTTCGACAGGGGTTTTTGGGAGACAATACCGAAATAGTTACTGGGAAAGTATTGATATTCCTTCGGGCATTTTTTGTGTGGTTGCTGACCGGCCGGCTGATAACATCTTGGATGGTGATCGAATTCGGTAGACTGTAAAAACACGCCGTAGGTTTTGAGCGTCGCGTTTGCCGTCTTACCGGATCGTAGCACCAAGCGCAAGAAGGCGTTCGAATGCACTCTTGACAGTTCGTTTTGGATATGCACGGATTAATACCTAGGAATGTTTCTGCGTTTAATTGTACGATGTATAAAAATGTAAGGCATGCGAATTTTAGCAAAGGCACGTAGGGAAAGGCCATTCTGAAAAAAAAACCCAATTACTCACAAATTTTGTTGAGAACACAAAAAAAAGGAATTGCCGCGTTCTTTCGTCTTTTTAGTGTCATTACCGTCATTAGTCTCCGTTACACAAAGTATCTTGGACGTGGATTTTTACATTCCACTTGTATTTTTTGATAAAATCACCGACGTACCGGATTGGGCGACAGCGATAACCGAGGGCACGAATTCGTGACTTTAATGCTCGTTTGGTTTTGAAGAATAATTCTACTAATCATCGCTTAATATTGAATATTTAATCCCGCTCTATGCGAGTCTATTTTGATTGTGAAACATTAATCTAAGATCCTCGGATTAATTTTTAGACTTAGGTACACTTAGCATTTTTTCCAAATACAAGATGGCGCAACTAGAGCCTGCGACAAAATTTCGATTTCGAAGACATTTGACCCAAGTCCATATAATAATAATAAATGCCTTTATTCAATAAGAATGGGCAAGGTTCAGCAATGACATGTGCTGCTCTTCCACCTAACCCGATATAACATACAGACATTAATATCCTGCGATCCTTCATGCTTAACCAAGTCACCGTCTCCAACTATTGCGAAATGAAATCTGTTTCTGGGCGTACCTCGGGGCGTACATTACATTTAGAACCGAAATTATCTTTTAATGTACATATTAGGTCGATATCTATTAACTTTAACCGAAATCTTTTTTTATTACGTAGATTAGTAAATAGTGTTTCTCAATCAGTTCTATTAAACGCATATTATGCACTATGTCATAGCATATTATCGTATGCAATAATTGCTTGGGGAAATTGTCCACAGTCAAAATATGCCTTCAAGTTACAAAGACGTGCTATTCGGATGATTGCGAATTTGGTTATCGTGATGAGTGTAGGCATATTTTTTCTACACTAGGCATTCTAACTGTACCATGCATGTTTATTTTAGACTGTGAGTGTGTTATGTAAAATCCAATTTTGAAAAAAATGCACTAGTTTCGAAATTGCACAGCCATAATACAAGAAAAAAGCTTTCGCTCAAGATACCATTTTGTAGATTGGCTAAATCTCAAAATAGCACTGAAATTGTTGCCTTAAAACTTTTTAATCATTTATTTGATGATGTTAAAGTAATAAAATCACCGCGACAATTTAAACTAAATGTCAAAAAAATGTTAACAGAATCCGCATTTTACAGCGTAAAAGAGTTTCTAGGGCAACAGTGAATTGAATAACTATAGTTTGGATGTTTTGTTTTGTTTTTTGTTGTATTTTCCCATTATTTTCTTTTTGGACGAGTGTAAGTACATTGTTTACATTTCCATGAAATATACATTATTATTATTATTATCATTAAATGTGACTGTATTTCCTGATTCCAAAATTAATCTTAAACAAGCATTTTGTAAGATTTGAATTTTTTTAATTTCTATGCTATTTAATGACGGACAAAATAATCTAAGCTCGGCAGGACCAAGGATTCGCACAGTAACACTTTCACTGCGATCATAAAGGTAGAAATTAATTCGGGCTTGCGGTTGGTGTACGGCAGTGGACGAGACGACCACTCGGCGGAGATCGGTAGCAAGATGACTGCAGATGCGCGTATCGACTATCGTGAACATCCGTATGGTACAGTATTTCATATGGGGACCGCAGTTCGCCGGAAAGTGACGGGAATTGTGTGGTCTATCCGATTTTCCCGCCTTTAGGTAGGACTCATGAAGCGCTTCGTCTGGTGAACGCGCCCAATAACAGCCATTCTTCGCTAAGTTTAGTGACTCAGTTTCAGTTTTACTTCACAATAAACGGAGAAACTACCCTTAACAGCATAAATTTCATTACGTAATTTATTTTATTTACAATTGATGAACAATAAATGTATAAAAGTCTTGAAATGAATTGAATTATAACTCGAATTATAACAATTAAAATATTATTTATCACTTAACATATACACAATTTATAACAGCGCGAACTATTTATTACTTCGGCATTGAACCTGGAACGTAACTGAAACGCAATTCGATTTGCTTATACAGTAAACGCCTCTTTTTTCTCGAAAGTTCTCGAAGGTTCCCGAGTATTCTAAAATCTTCTTGAACAAACACGTCATATTTCTCGGAAAGATTGCGTTACATTCCCTTCGTTCTTGATCGCCGATGACTAATCTTTCCTAGCGTCTCGAAGTCTATCGAGATTTCTGGAATATTCGCTACAATATGTCCTTTCGCAATTCATTTAATAGTTCTGTATGTTGTAATTAGCAGATTCCAAACAAAAATGCAGTAGAATTGGTAGAATATCGAGGCTTCTTTAATTCAAAGTTAATAAGGAGATTCAGTTCCAATTCTAATATTTTTCTATTGTCAAAAGATTACAAGTCAACAACAATTTCTATAACAACCAACACAGTTTTTTTTTTACAGCTACTATCATGAGGCCTAGTACGCTTCGCTGCACTATCTTGTGCATTTCACAATACTCTCAACACTTGCCCTTGAAATGCTTAAGACCTATTTTGTGTTTTTCAAACTGCAAATCCCAATGCGGCTTCGCAGACTCTCAAACACAGTCACCGAGTCGATCCTCTTTGTCATAATGTCCGCTAGCTGATTCTCAGTTGCGACATGCTCAACATCTAATCGCCCTTCAGCTACCAAATCTCGAATCCAGAAGAATCTTACTTCAATGTGCTTCGTTCGTCTATTAATCAGCTCACTTTGAATTAGATCAATACAGCCGATATTGTCGATTTTCAGACTTGGCTTCGTCATCTCATCTCTCCTTTTTGTGTCATCCAATAATTTCTGCAACCACACGACATCCTTCGCAGTCTCACCTGCAGCAATTAGTTCAGCCTCTGCGGTAGATTGCGCTACGCACTGTTGTTTCCTGCTTGCCCAGGTGACCGTTGTTCCTCCAATCAAACACACGACACCTGAAGTTGACTTTCGGTCAGCCTGATCTCCTGCATAGTCCGCATCTGAATACGGCACCAGCTCGTCCTTCTGCCCCGCCTTATAAAGCAGACCCAAATCAAAGCTTCCTCGCACGTACTTCATTATTTGTATAACATCTCGCCAATCTCTTTTGGTCGGATCAGCCACCTTCTTTGCAGCTTGATTTACCGAATATGCAAGATCTGGTCGAGTATAACAGGCGGCATACATCAGTTTTCCAACCACCGTCTGGTACTTCTTCTTCATTTCCTCCTCCAGACGTGGTGTTTTGTCCTGTTCTCGATGATTTGCCCCAGGTAGTCTCACGGAGTTGCACTTCTCCATCTGGAAATCTTGCAGCACACGCTCCAGGTACGCAGACTGGTGGAGAAATACCGCACCATCAGCACCGCGCTTAATCTGCACTCCCAGATAACTTGAGACATCACCAAGTGTTAACTGAAACTCAGTTTTCAGTGCTGCCAGCACCTCCTCAATTTTCGCTTGCTCTCTTCCAAGAATAAGACCGTCATCAACGTATAATAGCAGCAATGTCATATCATCTTCTCGAATATAAAGACACGGATCAGCTTGGCTACGCTTGAATCTTATCTCAGTCAACTTTTGATGGATCTTCACGTTCCAGCACCTTGGAGCTTGCTTCAGACCATATAGACTTCTTTTTAGACGCCAGACTCGACCGCTTCTGTCATCGAAACCTTCAGGCTGACGCATGTATACCTCCTCATGAAGATCACCGTTCAGAAAAGCTGGCTTTACATCAAATTGGCTGATTTTCATATTATACTGCGATGCCATCTGCATTACGAACCGGAAAGTGTCTGCCTTGGCCACTGGAGAAAAAGTCTCACCAAACTCATCTATGCGCTGGCGACATCCTAATGCAACTAGTCTTGCCTTAAATCTTGAGATTGAACCGTCCTCTGCAAGCTTCAGCTTCAAAACCCACTTGGCTGGTAGCAGCCGTTTACCTGGTGGCATCTGCACGAGCTGGAATACCTGGTTGTCGATCAGCGAGTCAATTTCCTCCTGCATCGCAAGTTTCCACTCATCCGCATGCTCGCTCTGCATTGCCTCCTTTGCAGTCTTTGGTTCAGGAAATGCAGTTATCATCGCTACTGCCACCAAGTTAAGTTTCTCGGGAGCCTTCAGATTCTCACGAGGTCGAAGGTTTCTAACCGGAGCATCTTCTGGCACTGGATCTGCCAGATCTTCCTCATTAAGCTCCACCTCGTCATTCAATTCGACTGGATCTAGCTCAACCACCACTTTCTCTGCTTGCCCTTGCTTGACAGTCTCATCGTCCACCTCAGTGTGGATCTCTAGAGTATGCACTTCAGGAACAGCCTTTGCTCGTTCCTCCACATTTTCAATCAATGGACCTGTCAAGAACTTCACATGCTTGGACGTCCACACCGTGTGCTTGCTTGGAAGCCAGACTCGGAAGCCATCATCACCTACGTACCCAACAAGTCTGCCCTCGATCCCTTTTGCCTGCATCTTCCTGCGTTGCGTCCGATCATCAAGTACAAAACATGAGGTTCCAAATGGTCGCATATGTTGCACCGTATGTCTCTTACCGGTCCACAGCTCTAACGGTTGCTTGCCCTTGATTTGAGATGGTGCTGCCCGATTTAAAGTGTATGCTGCTGTGACCACTACCTCATCCCACAGAAACTCTGGCAGACCCGAACCGTGCAGCATTGACCGTGCAGCTTCTTGTACCGTCCGATTCTCACGCTCAACCAACCCATTCTGTTGAGGAGTGTACGGCATCACAATCCTGTGCTCGATTCCCTCAGCACTCACCAGTTGTCGCACCTTCTGGTTATCAAACTCCCCTCCGCCATCCGTCTGAAGCTCTTTGATGACATGCTGAAGTGCCTTTGCCCGTGCGATGAACGTGGTCAGGTGTCCCACCAACTGGTCCTTTGACTTCATCAAGTATACCTGTCTGTAACTGGAGAACTCATCCTTGAAAACTGCAAAGAATCTCGATCCCCCTCTGGCAATTGGCTCGATTGGTCCACAGACATCCGCATGAACTCGGTCTCCTGGAGCAGTAACATCCTTCACCCTCCTTCCGAAGCTGACTCGATGGAACTTCCCTTTCAAGCAACCTTCGCAGTCACCGCAGTCATCATCTATGTCTCGGATATTCACCCCTTCGTCCCTCATCAACTGGAGCAAGTCCTTCTTGTTAAGATGTGCAAACGTCTTGTGCCACATCCTCAGGCTCTCCCTCCGCTGACTCAGCAAAGCTTGTTCATGGTTGATCATTACAGCTGGCATCTTGACCTCGAAGTTACTCATCTCGCACATCGAGTTCACCATTTTCCCCGCCAAGTACCTCTCTCCCATTGGAAATCCTCGTCTGTTCTTCTTGTACAAGCCCCACTGCTTACTATCTCCCAGCTGGCACATATCAACAAACTTATTCAGGATCATCCCTACTGAGACGAGATTGGCACGAAACTCTGGAGCGAACCACATGAGCATTATCCAGTTGTGCGTCTGCCCATCACAATTCACGACCATTTCAACTGTTCCCATACCCACTGCATGACTGATTCCATTGCCCACCGTCACCGACTTTGGTTCACTGAAGGGTTGATAGGATTGGAACATGTGAGGTGATGAAATGAAATGTACACTGGCTCCACTGTCTATGTACCACGGTTTAGCACCTTTTTTGGACTGAGGTGTCATCGCCAATTCACCGCTGGCTGCCATTGCTTGCCCGAATTCTGCAGCAATCGCCAGGTTACTTACTAAATTAGTTTTCTTACCCTCTTTCTTCCCTGGACAGGCCCTTGCCCAGTGACCCTTCATCTGGCAATGCCTGCAGACATCATCTGGTTTCGGCGTTCTGGCAGTTTTCTTTCCACTGGAGGTGCTCGACCTACTTGCAGACGACTTTTTTGCTTGTTGTCTCAGCACAGTACTCGCCACCAACCCGTGCACACCACTGCTCTCTGCCTGTTGCTCGCGCTGCTCTCTGGCAACCAGCATCTCAACCAATCGATCGTATGTCTGCTTCTCCTCTGGTTGCGTGTCCCATAGATCCAAGAAATCTATGTACCGCTCCTGAGGTAGACTGTTCACCAGCATGAAGTTCAACAAAAAGTCTGGTAGAACAACCTTTTTCTCCTGTTGACTGGCAATCTGTAGTTCCATCCAGGTTGACTGCACCCTTGCTGCATGAGTGGTTACGTCCTCTTCATCAGACTTCCTCAGCGTCACCAGCTTAGTCAGCAACCGATAAACTCGACTCGACGTCTTCTGCTCGTAGATGGACAATAGTTTCTTCCATATTTCGTATGGGCTAGTACATGCTGAAACCTTGAACAGGACCTCATCAGAGAGAGTAGATCGCAGGCAATGCCTAGCCATTGCAGCCTTCTTCTGGTACTTGGCAAGCTTCTTGGTATGCTCTGCAATCGCTGCTGCATCCGATTGTGCTTCCAGACTCGGTTTTATGAAAGACTCCTCAATAGCATCAGCTACATCGGCGATAGTTAGAATATCCTCAATTGACATCTTCCACTCGCTCCAATTCTCGGCTCCTTTCAAAGGTTTTACATCTATCTTTTTCATATTGACTGAATTTCTACTTAAATCCGGCACTCAACAAAATTTTACCAACGTTACAAGACTACCATAACCTGTTGTAATTAGCAGATTCCAAACAAAAATGCAGTAGAATTGGTAGAATATCGAGGCTTCTTTAATTCAAAGTTAATAAGGAGATTCAGTTCCAATTCTAATATTTTTCTATTGTCAAAAAAGATTACAAGTCAACAACAACAATTTCTATAACAACCAACACAGTTTTTACAGCTACTATGATGAGGCCTAGTACGCTTCGCTGCGCTATCTTGTGCATTTCACAATACTCTCAACACTGTACTCGGTTTTGTATGAAAATGTCAAATTTTTCAACGTCATGGCCTCACTCATGGCTAAACAAACGATATAAACCGAATACAACAGTACTTCCTCCATGGCGAAAACCGTACTATACCGCGATCGACTGTGAATATTGGAACTGTTACATGTAAACAGTAGTATCTCGTTTTATTCCGTGAAATTATCGTGCCCGAACGCTTTATTATTTACTGCATATTATCTATGGTTGGTAATACGAGCGTTCCAGAGCAAGGGTGCTCCATTTAAAAGTGTCTACTACTACATTTATGCAGCTCCCTGTTAATACAAAAATATTTTCGCGGTGTAATTTGGTATTCTTTTGTAACTTTGCCCTTTCAAGCGAGCTTTCAAGGGATATAATCAGTTAGGTATCGTACTAATTGTGACACCCTGTAGGTACAACGGAGATTTTGCATTATGCTCCTGAATACGTTATTAACTTACCGCTCGATTTCGCGTTTCTTTCGGTTTTATTTACATTAACGATTAAGAAATGTATAACTATGCATTTTAAGCATCTTACGTAAGAAATGGGCTATTTCAAAATTATAATATGCAACAAGTACGTGCTCCCATTAAAAACTTAACCACTTACGGATGTTTTTATTACTTGCATGCATTGCTTCCTCAAGTTAAGAGCCATATGTCCTGATAAAGCACACATGAACTCGAGTAACCTGACAAGAGGACAATAATTAATTCTTTAGTTAGTGGAAACAAACTGGACATGACCATTTTGCACACTTCCAATGATTCTTCATGGAGTGTATGTAAAAACACAACTTGGATTGAATGGACCAATTGCGACCAATGACAGCCTTATAAAGAACTGCAGTGAGTAAGTATTAAGGGTAACTCAGTCAGTGATGTAAGAAAAAGCATTAACATCCACAAAGAATCATCAGACTATAAATAGATTCTATTCCTGTACGGTTCACCTATACATTAGATTAGTCATATAAATGTTATAAAAATTAACGAAGATATTGAACAAATGAAAATCTATTAAATTAAGACGAAATGAGAGAATGCAATTAATTAATTAATAAAATTGGGATAAGTATTATTTTGTTTGCGCACGCATGAAAACACCTACACTATCATTTACACGAGTATGGTTATTAAAACGGCATTAAAATGAGCGTTTCCAAATTTTTGAGGATTTGGGAATGAACTATCGAGCACTATTACGAATAAATCGATGATATCATAAATTTGTGCGCGATAGGACGTTATCTAATCTAGAAAGATTAGCAGTGTATTTGCAAAGGAAATGATAAATGAGAACGCATCTTTATCTTACCTGTTTTGTTATCTTATCCAAAATAATGCCGTCTTTTGTATTAATTTATCACATCACAACCACACAACGGAACAGACTTTATAAGCGGCACACCTCTCTAGCAAACTTATTTCATTTCTCCATTACATTACCAAACACGGATAGTAAATGCAGTGCTGCTATCTTACTGTAAATTGTTAATTAGGTGTATATAGTAAACAGGCCGAACAGGCGTATTCTGTAACTGTCGATATGAAGTTTTGATCTACTTGGACAAATTTACAGAGAGTTGTATTGATGATTCGATACGCTTTTAGAGAACAGCGGCCCTGATGTAATGTTGTTAAAGCTAAACCCGTATGATGGCGCAGATATACATATGAATCAAAACATTGAATAAAACCGTTGAGTTTTTCACTCAACGATAAAACTGAATTTTTAGCGTATCCTCAAAGTGAAAAATGGCTATTGGCTGTACTTTGTCGTCCGTCCATCCGTCCGTCCGTCTGTCCGTCACACGTACTCCTTCTACACCACTGAACCGATTTGGGCTCAATTGAAAGGGCTTGGTCCAAGGATTCCGTGCATACCAGCTGAATTTTTTCGCGGTTGAAATCACGGGGGTTGAAAGGGGTGGAAAGTGGTGTTTTGCAAATTGTGGCAAAACTATTAATTTTAGACGAAAATGTTCAATCCAAAAGTTATAGAGATTAAAAAAATGAGCAACTTTTGTATCTACACTATTTTCACATAATCTCTAATTTTTCTAGAAAAACCGGAAAAACTGTTTTTTTCGTTTTTTAATCTTCTTTTTGCGAAAAAAAGTCGTAGGGGTTTGAAATTCGGAGGAAACATAGCTTGTTTTATGATATATTAAAAGAAAATTTATCGATTAATCGATAAATTAGTCAATTAAAAGTAGTGCTTTCCTTCCAAAGACGATTAATCGGTAACATAATTAATGATTAATCGATAACTGGTCGATTAATAGATAGTGGATTAATTAAAAAAAAATGGTCGACTAATTGATAATTTATCGAAAATTATTGAAAAATGTATCAATTCGTATCAACATCAACTCGTGCACTGCACAGCCAGATATGTTAAGCTCCGCTTTAACGACCTTATAAAAGAAAACCAAGAGATGAAGGAGGAAATTAAATCACTAAAACGCACGGTTCAGAGCAAAGATGAGCAGATTGCCGAACTATGTTCGAGAATAAACAAAATGGAACAATTTGCAAAAAGGAAAAATGTTGAAATACACGGGCTGGGGAATGATGAATCAATTTCACCGGAGAAGAAATAGCCGACCAGGTGGGGTGTGGCGATGTAAATCAGTAAATGTAAAGAGTGTCATTAGGGTAAAGCTACCACACTCTTCCTTTCTGTTAGCAAAACTAGAATCAGAAGATCACAAGAAAAACTTCATAGTCTAAGGGAAACTCTGGTGGAAAAACCAATCTGAAGACGACCAAAAACGCAACAAACGAATTTACTTTAACGAGAATCTGACGGCAGAAAATCGCAAACTATTCAAAGAAGCAAAATCGCGCGCGAAGATGTATATTACAAATACGTTTGGGTTTCTCACGGCCGCATCCTAGTACGTAAATCCGATAATGACAAGGTGTACAATAGCGCGTCCATGCGTGACCTAGAGAAACATATTATGGGCTAATCAAATTGTATGTGACATTTTAGAATTTGAGTTCCAACTTTTATCAGTTACTTTCTTTAGTTACCTAAATAAACTGTGTTTACAAACATTAATTTTATTTTTTTCATAACAATTTATTTTAGTAAATGGACATTTTTATTTTTCTCCCCTTTATGAACTGGATACAAACAACAATTAAAAACCCACAAATTAAATTTAAAGTAAGTGAAAACATAAGGCAATGGACTAGTTTCAATCAAAACTCACAATCGGGAAGACTAAATATTTTCCATTTAAATATACATTCATTACGTAAACATTGGGACGATTTGCAAATACTGCTGCACTTGTCAGATTTTGACATAATATTCTTGTGTGAAATCAATACACCAGAAAACCAAATTTCAAATTACAACTTACCAGGGTATAAATCGCTACACAAAGTTAGGGCAGTAAGAAAAGGAGGAGGTTTGCTCATATTATATAAAGACAGTATAGAAATTAAAACCATACCCACGCGCACAAAAAGTTGCGAATGTTTAAGAACTATTTTCAAAACTCAAAAATCAAAAACACAAGTCTACACCCTTTTTGTTTATCGTCCACTAGACGCAAGTGTACAAGAATTCCAAATCGAGATTGAAGCGATGTTAAGGGATGTCAAAGAAACGGAAGTGATCTTGATAGGTGATATAAATTTAAACCTGTTAGACGGAAAGAGCAGGAATATATCTGATTACGAAACACTGTTATGCACACAAGGTATGATGAACGTTATCTTGGAGCCAACTCGGGAAGAAATTCGCGAGGGAGTACTTACACAATCCTTAATCGACCACATTTTCCTACGAACGCAGAGTGAGACTATTTACTCTTCCATACTGCAGCACAAATTGTCAGATCACTATCCCATTTGTGCATCGTTCGAAGTCAAAAATACACTGAAACCTTACATGAATAGAAAAAGGCAAACATTTGATGTAAACAAAATAAATCAGCTAATTAATGATAAAAACTGGCAAAATGAAAGCAGTGTCGATATATAAACGAATATACGAGAAACATTATTACGAGTATGCACGAAATTTACAATAAATCAACTATAGAAAAATGGTATGTCAACAAAAAGGAAACTTTACCTAAAAGAAAATGGAGCGAATGGATAACAGACGACATGTATAACAAAGTCAAAGAGAGGGACAGGTTGTTTAAACGTTGGAAGTCAAATCCGAACAACGCGAAACATAGAGGAACATATAAAACATTTCGAAATCGAATTAACAATGAAATTAGGGACTTAAAAAAAGCGTACTACAACAGAAAATTTCAAAGAATCTCACGAGAGCCACAAGCTATCTGGAATGAAATAAATAATATTTTATATAGAAGAAAAAACAAGAGTGTCGACGATAAAATCATGAGCAGCATAGGAAAAAATAAAAACATTTCCACCATTGTAAACGATTTCGCAGATTATTTTAACAATCTAATTATTGAACTGAGAAAAAGCTGCCAGCATGTAATACATCCGAGACTGGAACCCCAAGAAATAAATTATCGATTTTATATACCATTCTCAAGCCAAATTCAAATTGAAGATATCATAATGACTATCAAAACAAATAAATCACCTGGTATTGACAACATAAGACCAATAGAAATCAAAAATAATACGAAAGTCTTCGCGGAAATAATATCAAAAATGTTAAATCAGTCATTAAGAAATGGAATTTTTCCTGACGAATTGAAGATCGCAATTACAAGGCCAATATTCAAGAAAGGAGACCCATACGATCCTAAAAATTATCGACCAATAAGTATTGTAACGTGATTTATAAATTCGGGTTCGATTTATATCAATATTTATTAAACAAAACTAAAACACTATAAAATCCGTACAATTTATATCGATTATTTATATCACTCACTTCGCAATTTATATTTCCGCGCTCGATGTTTACGTACTCGTTCGGTAGTAGACTGCCGCGATGTTCGGTCCGCAACCATTTATACACGCAAGCAATGTAAGTCCCGAACATTCTCGAATATTCCTACTATCGCGCGCGTAGAAAATTCCAGAGCGCCATAGGCGACGTCATGTCTTGAGCATTTCCGTTACACTGCCCCCTTCTTAATTCTGGGCGTCTCGTTCAGAAACTGCGTTAGTATTACTTTTTAATGCCTCGTGTCGGAATCTGCAGTCAGAGCCTGCTCGACAAACACCTTTCTTGAAAAAGTAACAGTTCACAGTTTTGCGGAGGGTCGTCCCCTGTGGGTTGAAGCAGCATACTGTAATTCGAACGCTAGTGTTTCTAAAAATCACTTCGATCATGGTTCGCACTATTTTCCAGTCCAACCCATCTAAACCACATCCAATCTTCGGGATCGCCAAGCTATTTATGTCATAGTATGCCATGAGTTTCCTTAAGCTTTTTAAAGCAGACCAGAGGTTTTCATAGCTGGGTTTGCCTTCTGACGTTTTCTTTGAAACCAAGTAGAACAAAGAGCGTTGACTATCTTCTAAGCGCAGTACTTTACCCACTCGTGGTCTTTGCTTTATCAACTCGTCTATTCTTCCAAATCTTTTCCGGAATACGGAAGCTATACCTCTACCCATGCGAAGGTCTTCCGCGACACAATGGGCGATGGAAACGTTAACCGGAAGCTCAAAAATATTTTGACAAATTTCCTGAGTAACGCCAAATCGAGCTTTCTTCCGCTGGGCGTAATTTGACATAAAATCGTTAAAGTTTGGCTCGATCTCAAAGCTGCGTTCCTCTTCTCGAATACCTCTAACTTCTTCGTTGTTGTTGGATCCGGCATATCGTGCGAGTCGATTAATGTGGACAACTTTCGGTTTCCGGTGGTTCATTCTGATACAATATATCACGTCATTTATTTTCTTGATCACCTCATACGGACCTTCCCATTGTCTTTGTAGCTTGGGAGAAAGACCTCTTCGTCTCTGTGGATTGTGCAGCCATACCAGATCTCCAGCTTCAAAAGTTTCATTGACCGAGCGGAGGTTGTATTGATTTTTCATGCGATCGCTTGCAATCTGAATATGACTTCTAGCCAAGTCGTGAATATCGTTCATCTTCGCCTTTAGTTGGTCAACATAATTTTCACCTGCGACATATTCTTCATGGGGTTTACGCCCAAACTCGAGATCACATGGAAGGCGTAGTTCACGACCCAACATAAGGCAGGCAGGAGTCTGACCCGTGGGCTCGTTGACGGCTGATCGATATGCCATAAGGAACAGGTGGAGGTACTGGTCCCAATTTTTCTGATGTTCTGCCACGACTTTTGAAAGATATTTACCCATCGTTCGATTCATTATCTCAACCATTCCATCTGACTGAGGATGCAAAGGTGTTGTTCTGGTTTTATTGGCTCCTAACAATCGACAAACATCTTGGAACAAAGCCGATTCAAAGTTCCTTCCTTGGTCTTAATGGATTTCTACAGGAACACCAAAACGTGTAAAGAACTCCTTTACCAACACTTCTGCAACTG